CACACGCAAACATTACATATATATATATATCTATATCTATCTATCTATCTATATCTATCTATCTATCTATCTATCTATCTATCTATCTATCTATCTATTATCTATTCTATATCATATATATATATAATATATATATATATATATATATATATATATATATATATATATATTATATATATATATATATATATATATATATATATATATATATATATATATATATATATATATATATATATATATATATATATATAATATATATATATATATATATTATATATATATATATATAATATATATATATATATATATATATATATATATACCCCTCTACGTACCTACTTACCTATCTATCTATCACTCTGTCTATCAATACCTGTATCATGCACACGCGCGCAAACTTATAAACTCACTTTCTCCTTTTCTTTCTCTTTGGTGTCGTAGCTCGGTCCAGCTCCAACTTTCCAAACAAACTTATCTCCCCCTGTGCAAGAGCTGTATCTTTTTTATTATTTCTTTTTTCTCAAGTTGAATATTCATTTCCACTGCCGGGTCTGGGTACATATAAGGTCGAAAATGAGTTTCATGATTCATCAAAAGGTACTAAACATTGTTAGTTTTCCTGTAGGCGGCGCTTACTACGTGAATAATTCCATCATAAGAATACTTCTCCGAATCTTTGCACTCGGGCCTTCTTGTGTCCGTGTTGCTGCAGGCTGGCTTCGAACCACAAGGACAGCGTGTGTGAGGGAGGATGCTACATGGGAAGTATCAAAGCATCATCTCATTATGACTTATTCAGAATCAGCTTTAAGGTATTGCATATCACCATATCACATATATATATGCAAGGACCACTAGGGTTCAATATACATATGACTGCTGGGGACTGACCGAGGAGCTTTACACGCAGGACTGACTGAGGCGTTTGGCCTATACGTCCGTGAAGCCAAAACCAACCTAAACAATATTGCTTCTTAGCATCTTGATCGCTCGACAACTCCACTAAAATAATCAGCGGAGAAAAACATAAAACAGCCACCTCCGTATGGTTGGTAATCCTATACTCTACCACTCCGCTATCTACCGTACGTCCCCTGCCACGCTTACTGCCCTCCTGCCCGCCCCTCTCTGCCTGTCCACGGGGGGTCAGCGAGGGCGCAACGACGCCGTAAATGTCACGGGATACAGGCATCTGTTCTCCAGTGTACTTCAAGATCTTATCGGGCCCTCTGATTTTTGTTGTAAATGGTAAGTGACTCTGCCATAATCTGATCACACCTTTTGCCTTCTACGGTGAGATTCAGCGGCGGCTAGGGTGGACAACGCCCTTTCCATATCATACAATTTTCTTCCTTTATCATGTTTCTGTAATAATAAAGTCTTCCACAACTTTATTATGATATACTCTTCGCAGCTTTCAAGATGGGATCCTGCAGCGGGGGTGCCGAGTATCTTCTACAAATATATTCAGCCTTAAACGTACTCAATGTCAGAGGCTGCAACATATGTTCCTCACCAGAAACTTGACCCTCTTCTGACAAGAGGGACGCAACAGGTCAGAGAGTGGAAGCTGCCGGACTCTGCCACAGCTGATTCCTCGGAGATGGTGTCTTTTCGGATATAATGGAATAGAGACATCTAAACGCTTGTATGATTTCGGGTGAAAAGGCTTCAGAAAGAAGAGTCAAAGTACATGTAATGAAACTTGAAAACTAAAGGTTGGACGAATTTAAAGTCAGCTTTTAGATTGATCATTTTGTTCTTTGGATGAAGGCATCAGACAGTGTTATTAAGGATAATACCCTGCTGTCTGAGATATGAGACATCGGTGTGATGTATATCATGTTTCATGATGTGCATGATTCTCGTCAAAGCGGGGATCATCGCTCATAACCCCGGGAACTGACTGACACGGGTCAAAGAGTTTTAGAATCGACAAGTGCCTTTTAATCTGAGACGAACATAGTTAATGAAGCGATTTCAGCACCACCTAGTATGTCAAGGAACTTGCATTTGGCATCTCAGTGACTGAAATATATTTTCACATATATATCTGGACCAAATACCAATCAAATACATTTTTGTTTATGGTCCGTTCATAATCATGGTTCCCTTGAAATCACGCTGTCCTTCATCCTACGCGCTGCTTTTTATTCACTTCTTCTGTGGTAAATGATGATAAATGATCTAATATTAGAAGGATCGCCAAACTGGTCCCTATACATCAAGCACCATACTCACACTCATGCACCGAGGACGCTGTGTGACCAAAGTGTTTCCACTTTGCAACTTCCTGGTCAGGTTTTGCTTTCGCGAAACCAAGTCGGGAAATTCTGTCTGTCATGGCACTCCCGTTGTCAGCAATTAAAGAACGGCATTTCCTTTCCTGTATATCCTCGCGCCCCACACCCATGTAGTCGGTACAGCGAAAGAGTTACCACATCCGAAAAGTTAGCAATCTAAAGAATTACCACACGTTACGAGTTATCACTCCCTCCCAGTCGCCATGCTAACATGCGCTAGATGCGGTGGCCTACAAGGCGGACGCCCACAGGGACAGCTGATCGCACAGGTTACAGGGGCTTGCCATCTCCCAGCTGTGGAGAGCTACGAGACCCGCGGCCAAATATGGATCAGATGACTTCGCTGCATGGACTTGAGTTCTGGCACGTTCGTCTTAAGTCCCATTTTGCCCCCCCCCCCTATCCCCCGGCCCCTTCCCCCACTAGCGCCTCACCCTTGTACTGCGCTTGTTCATCATCTTGTACAATGACCTGGTGCCCGCCTTGCGTTTGTTGGGAAGTCGTTTTCTTTACGTGCCCCTGTATAAGTAAGCAACGTATTTGCTTTGGCTCATGAAGGGAAGAGACATGCAAGTAGGTCATTTCGCAATTAAGAAAATTTACCTTTACGACTTTGGGTATAGGTACCTAACAGGACTTTTCCTGGATAAAACACCTTAATAAATTTAAGGCGATAATACCCCGGGCACAGCCATGCTGGTCCTCAATGGTGTAATACCTCAATTTTAAACCCCCTCCGCCAACCAGCCGCCCTCCTACTTCGTCAAGCTCCAAGATGCAGTTTCGCCACGGTGATTCTGACTGACAGCCTAAGCATGAATCAAAGTTTACTACGCACGCTCACTGAGGGGACCCCGGCCCGCCCCGCCCCCGATCATGTCAGGCGGCCGCGGGAGGCTGCTCGGCCGCGCTGGTGCTGCCTCATGACGGGGGCGCTCGCTGCGGGGACTGCGGCTCGAGGCCTTTGGGGAGGTGCGCGAGAGGGTCGGGGAAAGAGGGAGGGGGAGAGGGAGAGGGGGGTGAGAGAGAAATGGGAAGGGAGAAAGAGGAAAAGTCATAGAGGGAGAGAAAGAGAAAGTAAGAGAGAGAGAAAGAGAAAGACAGACAGAGAAAGAGAGAGAGAGAGTTAGAGCATCCTGGCGGTTACGTGTGTAAGGAGCTCACAAAGTTATTATTTATGGTATGATTGTTAAAGAGCGATGTTATAAAATGGATAGGGTCACGGCATATTTCTTCTGAGGAAAAGCTTGCAACCGGAATGCGGAGAGGCAAAACAGTGATTTATAAATAACATGAATAAACTTTACTCTAAAGCAGTCTGAAGCTGATTTCACATGTGCCGTGTGCATCGATAGTGTGTGGCGATGCAAGTCACCTATTGCGATGACGCTATTGCATGATGCATGATGAGTCTGTCGGTAACTTAGATATCTTGAAATACTAGCATGAGAAGATACCAAGCGGTATGCAGGCTTGATGGAATATATAATAATGTTCATACTGGTGTTGTACTGGTTGCACTGACTAATGGTTTGCAATGTAGCTGATAGTGCTAAAGCTAGTTTTTATTTGTTTGCGTTGAGATAATGAAAACAGGCAGTGTATAACGACTGCCAAGGAGCATCCAGGGAAACTGTTCTGAACATTCTATAGCCTGTCAGTTATGAAACTAATCACCTAACATTATTTGGATGTTTATTTCTTTCTTCACTCACCCATCAACAATGCACACAAACTCATAATACCATCGCAGTTATGCAGCGTACATTTCCAAGCAAGTAACTATTAACTTATCCGAATTGCGGCAAATGTTAGTTGCCCACAAGTGAACCCTTTAGCATAGTCTTTCATGACAACACACACATGATAACATATATATTGCTAATTAGGTAGCTAGATAGATGGATAGACAAAGAGATAGATGAATGGATAGAAAGGTAGATGGATAGATAGATAGACATACATATAGACAGATAGATAGACGGATGAATAGATATATATGCATGTATAT